CTGCAAATATCCATTCCTGTTGCCTAGAAGTTTAGCAAGGTTGAACAGGTAGCATCTTTCCCACCTTACCTGCATAATAAAAGTTCTGCTTACAATTTGCACTGAAAGTAACAAACAAGAACACAAAGCACGCTTCCCATGCCTAGGCACATAAAGGGTGTGGTGGTTACCCCCGCTTCCCTCCCTCCCCCACCAGTAGGGACTGAGTGAGGTGAGTGGACAACAGAGAAGCTGTCCAACTGCAGGCTCTGAGCTAGCGCTCCCTAGACAGGCAGTGTGCTAGAGGGGCAAAGGGCTGAAGTATCCTGGGGAAGGACCACATAGCAGCCTTTCTCAGCCTCTGCCCTCCAAGCTAAAACTCCTGTCCCTTTCCTTATGAAAAGTTCTGGGATACCACTAGCTCTGAGGAAGGGACACAGATGTCTACAAGGAGGGGCACACGGGGCTGCAGGAAGTGGGGACAAGACACAAGGCCTGGTCTCCCCAGGGGCAGAGAGGGGCAGGGAAAGGGGAGGTTACCTGACCCCAGGGTCTTCTCTGTTGCTCTTGAGGCTAGCTTCTAGGTGTGTGGGAAGGGACTCACCCACCTCTCTGCACCTTCATGAGGATTAAACACTTCTGGGAAGTGCTGCCTAATGTACCCAGGCCTGTCTGCTTGGTGCGTCCTTGTTTGGAGGGGGGAGAAGAGGGGGAACATGAGAGGTGGGCTATTACTCTGCAGCTCCAAGTGGTTACCTTGAAGATACAGGACACAAGGTTCCTGAACTGTAGTGGAGGAAAGAAATCACCCTTGGAGTGAAAGTTGGCACCTTGACCTAGGAAAGAACCATTTTGCCGAGGTCTTGTACTCTGCTTTGACAGAAGGGGGCTGTCTTATCCCTTCTTTTCCTCACAAGCAGGTCCAACCCCCAAATCTAGGAGGATCCCAGTGGAAGTTCTAAGTCACTGCAGCCTTGATCAGGCCCTCCTTTCTGCCTCAGTTTCTCTCTGTGCCAAGATAAGATTATTCTCACTATCTGTAGCAATAAAGAGGAAACCATGTCAAGGGGCTGGAGAAAATTTTAGCTCAGTGGTTCCGCCACCTGCCTCGCAAATGCAAGGTCCGGAGTTCAATCCCTAGTACAAAAGAAAAAGAGGTTACCATGTTGAGGAACCAACTCAGTGTTGGGCAGAGTGCTGCTTGCAGGTGGGGCGCCTTTCCCCTTCAGCCTGCTTCCTCATCCTTACAGAGGGTGAGTAAGATGGTCTCTGCCCCTTCCAGCTCTGAAATCCTGGTGAAAGAGACTACAGTGTAAAGTTTGCTGAGGTTCGAAGTCTTGAAATGCAGCTCTGACTGTTTGCTTGTCAGCCTGAGCTCCGGCCTGCTCTGTTCTGCCTCTTGGCTTTTCAGTCTTGAGTGCATCTGTCCTCTGTTCTAGCACTTGCTCGTACTTTGGGAGATGTTGTCTCACTTGTCACATCTCAAGGGTACACCTGGCCTTCCCAGTTGGATGGCAAGTTCAGGGCTGAAGGGTGCCCTTGGTCACAGCACCCATGGGCTGGTGGCATTGGGAGGTCTCTAGAGAGGCAGGATGAAAGGATACTCAGAGCCAGCTCTGGCTTTGTGTTCTCACCCCAGTCCACCAGGCCGCCATCTCCCTCCTGAGTTCAGCTTCTGTGCAGCCCTGGGGAAGCCACCTTCCCAGGGAGCTGAGGCCTCTGCCCCTCGGGGCAGGAAGCACAGGACTCCGCGTGGGGGTGAAGGCTGTTCCTTGAGGTTTGGCCAAACTGCCTCATAGCAGCTGTCTGTTCTCGGGATATGTTTATGGTCAGCCCTATCCCTGATTCCTCCAAGAGGCTTCCAAGACAGCTTCTGCCAAGCTCAATACACTATGCCTGTATAGAACCTTATAGAGTAAGACAACAAAGGAAGCCTGGAGATGTGGAGGGAGCTGGCCAGAGGAGGAGAATGGGCTCTTTTTATTCCCCTTGCTGTGCCAGTTTTTTCTCATTTATTGAGCATCTCCTATAGGGCCAGTCACCATGCTAGATGTTTTTAAAAAGAAACATGCAGGTTTCAAACTGAACAGCTCAGAAAAGGCCGTTCTATAAAGTCAACAGCCTTCACATGTACTGAGGGTTTGAGCCACATGTGATATGCTATCTCCATTTTTCAGATAGGGCTCTCCCTAAATCCCGCATCTGAGCTCAGGCTTGCAGCCCTAGTGACATCTTGGAGCTGCAATAGCCTCCTGTTGGGGACAGGGCAACCCTACCCTGTAGAATATTGCTCAGCAGATGAGACAACATATCTCCAAGCATAATCAGATGTCCCCCAGGTTCGGACATACAACACCCTCCTTTTAAGGTCCCCACTCTATTTTGCAGCCCCCACAGCCACATAGGTGGCTCTTGGAAGGGCTCCCACCTGCTCCCTGCCCTGTGTGACAGAGGCTTTGGCCCAGAGAGGCTTGGCCGACCTGCCTGAGATTTTTGGTTTCTGGCAGAGTGGTGAATAACAGCATCTCCCACCTTTGTCCTAGTTACCTTGCTTAGCTCTTCGCTACCTTGTTCTCCCCAGAACAGGTGTGTTTATGTGCACACATCTGCCTGACTCCACTCTGCTCCCTGTCAGGTTTTCTCCCAATCTGTTCTCTCTCCTTAGTCTCAGCTACGTCCCACATGGAAAGCACCATGGGATAGACCCATGTGTGCCCAACAACAGCCCCCTCCCAAAGCAGCCAGGGCTGACAGTGAGAGACTTCTAAACTCCAGTCAGGCCGATGGGAATTGCCACCTGGCTGTCATGAACACATTCTGAGTAAACATCAACAAAGTCCCTTCAGCAGATAATTAGCCCTGCCATGTGTGGACCACAGAGAGTATTTATCAGCTGGTCGTGGGCCCTTCCACCCAGAGGATGCAGCAGCTGTCACTGATCATCCCCATTTCTGCTCCAGCAGTAGGAAGAGATCTGCTGCAGGAGGCCACCCCAGTCTTGAGTCTGAAAGGCAGGCTGTGGGGCAGCAAACACAGACATGAGTATATTCTCAGGCTGAGCAATTACAAGATCGGCCCGAAGGCCTTGCAGTTAGGCCTGAACTTTTCACCCTCCCCTCCAAGGCTTTGACTCTCCCACTGTGGAACAAGGAAGGCCTGGAGCAGCAGGTCCCAGTTCCCCTTCGGGCTAGGGAGCCCAGAGTCCAGGCTCTGTGAGCACAGAAACCTCATTTGTCTGGCTCGTTGTTGCCACAGTATTTGCTTAATACCTATTTGTTAAATGATTGAAGACTTGACAGCCATTGAATACAGAGATTAAGCAGGCTAATAAACTGGGAAGGTGTCAGGTTCCAGAATTGTTCATGATTCTTTCAGCTTTGCTCCTGACTTCTAAAAGTTACGTGGATGTCCAGTGGGATCCTGTTGTCTGCTATTTAATTTCCTAAGGACTAGGCTTATCAAAAGTCCCTCCTGAGCTAATCCTATCCTTGGGGGTGGCTTCTCCTTTTGTTCCCATCCCAAATGGACAGCGTTCATCTCCTGGGCCTCCAGGCTGGTGGAACCTGGGCTGCAGGCTGCCATGTGCTCAGGGATGGCCCTTTCTTCTTATCCTTTCAAAAGGCTACAGGAGGAGGAGGAAATAGAATGAAGAAGGAGGTCTTGAGGTAAGGAGATTTGTCAAAAGCCATGCAACAACTATGGGAAATGCTGAAAATCCAGTTATCCACAGACATCCTAACTCACTCTCACTGTGCCCTGTGGCTTCTCCAAGTGAGCCAGCTGGAAAAAAGTGCTCATTCAGGAAAATTTAGATGGTAGAGCAGTGTCTGCAACCACTAAAAAGCAGTTGCAGGAACAGATGTCCACATCATACAAGGAGACCATGTAGAACCTGCCACGGAAGCCAACAAATGCGGGGGGAGCCTGGAGAGGGGGGAGCAAAAGGCGAGAACTGTGCCCGCCCATGGTGCCCACGGCCCTAAGGGGAGAGAGCCCGTTGTGTGCCAAAGGATCACACCTCTGATTCTCTTTTCCTACTGGCAGCTTTGACTCCCTGGCTCGAGTCTCTTCCTGAAATGTCTTGGAGCTTGAGGGACTGGACAGGGAAGGGCAGTTCGCGGCAGTGTTGGGAACCGCATTCATTTGTTCAGCCCTGTGGATAGGTGGAAAGTGCGGAAGGCACTGGTTTTAGGGTGATGTGGCTGCACGCCACTGACTGTGGGCTTAGCAGGACATATGGTGGACAGAAGACAGGCTTTAGATGGGCAGGCACAGGTGGAATCTTGACTCTGCCCCTGAACCTCTAATGACCTAAGCTACTTCATGTTGCCAAGCGTGGTTTACTCTTGTATCAAAAGAGAAGGATCCGGAACCCCTCACCTTGGGCTGGGAGAGTAACTACATAAAGCATCCAGCACAGGGATTGACATACAAGAAGGAGGAGCATGGCTGGAGGCTCTGGAGCAGTGTTGGAGCCAGTGCTTGGGACTTTCTCTCCTGGATTCTCTCCCTCGATCCTTCCCGCATATTTGTCACTTTCATGGTGAGTAGTTTGGCACACAAGCTAATTGCTGCTTACCCAGAGAAGGTTTCAATGCCCAGGCTTTAAAAGGAAGGTGGAGAAAACCAGTCAGAATGGCCATTTGTTAGGCCTGCTGCTTGACAGGGACCTGTGCTCTCTCACCTCAGAAAGAGGGCTGTAGCATTAGCTGGTTGTGCAAAAGTCCTATGACTTGATTGATAAGTTTTGGGTGGAATACACAATTTCAGTTTGTTTGGAGAACCCTGTGAATAGAAACTGAACACAAAGAAAAGACTCAACCAGGGCTAAGGGTGTAGCTCGGTGCTTGAGTCTTGCCTACCATGCAGTCCTGAGTTCAATATCTAACACCACAAAAAAATGTTAAGGCATTTCCAGAGAAGCCTGCCAACCCCTCTCTCTGCCCCTGGGCTTTCTAAGTCAGACCTGCAGCCCTCATTTAAGTCCCCAAACTCTGGCTG